TAAACTAATCCTAAAGTAATAATGGTATTTCTAACCACTGATATAACTTTATCCTTTCAACAGCTGCTGAAAGTTAGGGGACCTAGCTGCTATCGGATATTTATATAGAGATCCTCCAGCTTCAAACTGTATTACCCTTCAAGGACCTGCAGTTCAAAAAAGTACCCCTCCGACAGCCAAACCCATCTGTTCTGTGATTGGATTGTTACATTTGTGATTGACATGACATTGACCAATCAGATGAAAGGAAGAAAAATAGGGTCAAAATTTGTACTTGTAACTTGCAGGGTTTTTTTGGCTAAGTTCACACACAAATCTTTTTTACACACATACAAATCATTTTTTACACACACAAACAAATTCTTTTTACACATACAAATCCTGATTTACAAGTACAAAACTGATTTACAAGTACAAAATATTTATGGCCACATTTTGAGCCCATACTGAGGTGCGGACCGGTTTCCTGCATAATTCGCATAGTACAGTTTTCTGCTCCGTGTCACACTTTTCATAACCAAACCATGTCCATGCTACAGTGGTAGTCCCTCATTTAGAAATAAGGTCCTCGATTTGTTTTGATTGGTCCTTTTGTTTCTCATTATTTCAGTTTATTTTGAAAAATCTCAACAGGACCTTCAGCTTTATTGTGAACGGCTTATGTGGAAAATAAACAGGCAGACGGCGGAGCTACACGCTGGCTTTACCACAATGCGTAAAAAAAGTTGTTTATCCGTCTGTAGTGTGGTTATTTTAAATATAAGAGAAAGACTTTAAGAAATTAATATAGCCACTACAGTAACCATCAAAAAGAGGAAAAAATATTGCCGTAAACAGCAATATTTACGGCACCACGACACCACAAAGCAAACGATAGCGTAATATGAAACGATAGACGTTTTCATATTGTCACCTAATGTATATCATTATATCAAAGAGCCCTATGAAATACCATGATAACATTTGGGGCTCTGTTTCACACCCTTACTAGACAGGCAGGCACACAGTCCCTTCCCTCACTAGCAGCTGAACACTTGGAACAGCAAACTGACACCCTGGTCTTAATACGAACTTTGTGAGGTCAGTAAGGTTCCTATTTCAACAATGCTGAAGTATTAAACAGTTATCCTAAATGTTAATTTGGCCTGTACACACATTAACCTTTGATTTTTAACTATTAGCAATTACCCATATTATTTGTCTGCCAAGCTATCATTAAGGAACTGGCTTATGGCTAATAATAAAACAGTAATATTAATGCTATCAGCACTTCCCATGTGTAACATTAACAGTGGTCATTTAACGAGATAACAATTATTTATGTCTAAAAATGTTTCTCTTAAACTAGAAACTGAGAAAAGTCTATAGCAGCCAGACAGAAATGGCAGCGGTCCACCTTCAATATTTGATCACTAGAATAGGAAATGAGCGGGGCTCCAGCTACATGTGCACAAACCAGTGCTCTTCTAATCATTATTTAAAAACAACTATGCCTCTTAATTTTGTCTCTTTTCCTTCATCTGAAAATGGCACTGAGTTAATTTATTAGCTTAGCTTTATTAGCTTAAGCAGGAGAAGAAAATACAATCAGAAAGGCTGACTACTCCAAAACTAAAAAGAATTAATTAAAAAACCAGAGGAAACAATCAAAAGTTAGCACTCTGGATGAGGCTAATAATTATTGTGTATTTTAGAGCAATTTCAAACCTTTGAGTATGAAAGGAAGTCATTAGATTATATTTTCAATGACTCATGATCATGTGTGACAATTCGCACTGTGTGAAATACTGCCCACACACAATGTGAAATTAGTCTGTCAAGTGCAGCAAACACTGCACCAGCAGACCACACGCCTGTGCAAAATGTGGTCACACACTGCTCAGGTCAAGTTTTTATTATGTCAGTTTAAGCCAATGCAGCTGAGATCCAATGACAAATTTCTACATACAAGTCATGCAGAGCTGCATTAGCACAAGCTGCTGTTAGCTTTCTTACTTTCCATCTTGGTTGTACTGATAAGACCAAAATCATGTCGTTCTTATCCCCATAACAGTGTATATCACAACATAGTGTATTTTCCGTAAATCAAGTCACTGGTTTATTTAATCACCAAACTGAAAGTACTATTTCTTTTTTTTTTTTACATTTAAATTAAATAATCAAAAATGTAATAAATTACAAGGTGCTATCCCTTAATGACACAAACTGAATGACCCCACGCAGTCACGCAAAAGCTTCCTCCTGAGGCCCCCCGGCTATCATTACTGGTCTTATATGATCGTCAGGAAACTAGCCTGTCTGCGAACATCGACTGAAGAGGGTGCAGTCTTAAATGACGCGCTCCATTAAGCTCATACAAGGATATCGCCAGTGTGTGAATGCGTGTGTGAATGGGTGAATGACTGAATGTAGTGTAAAGCGCTTTGGGGTCCTTAAGGACTAGAAAAGCGCTATACGAATGCAGGCCATTTACCATGTGCTGTTCAGTTCATCCACATATCTGTTGGCGCAACGTGGTATGCTACGTTGCAAATTTCCTCCAATACTTTGGTCTGACGCGTAATATAAACGAGGCAACTCTACTTGTGTGAAGTGTTTTCAGCTGGGCGTAGTGTCCCTGGAGTCGAGTACTCTGGCCAATGAATGAAAACATATATTTGGCCACTAGTATATTTATGAGTGTTTATAAATAAATGCAGAGAAAAGCCTGTTCTAGAGTTCTAGAGTTTGCGTATGAGGCTTATTTTGAGCACCTGGCAGATCTTTTTTTCTTATTTGTAAATTCTCCATATTCCTTCACATGATTGTTGCATAGGTGGTAGAAGGGGATTGTTTCTGTGGTAGGGACGGGTTTTCTGCTCCGCGTCAGACTTTTCATAACCGCACCATGCCCATGCTACAGAGGCAGCCCCTCTTTTAGGAATGAGCTCCTGCATTTGTTTTGGCTGGTCTTTCTATGATGTCACTGTGACTATTGCAAACTGTCATCTGAGGTGATGAAAAAATATTGCAGGAAACACTGTGCACGAAATAATCAATAGATGTTTTAATATTGTCATCCGATACAGTTCGTCAGATCGCACAGCCCTATTTGTCACAGAGAGAGTGTCATCACTAGCGATGCTGAATGACTGCGTAATGTCTCAGGAACAACAGTTAACTGGTGGTGCACATAAATAACTAGTTTAGCCAATTACCACTTCCGATGCTGACTGCCAAAGGCTGGAATATTTTATCTGACTGACTAGCCTGCACGTCCCTAATTTGATCACCTCCACAGCTGACACTATGGCTACAGCGTTGCATTTCACTGCTCTTTGGAAGTCACAGAAATCACTCAACTGGTTTAGCCTCTGCAAACAGATTTAAAAGCAGCTGTGTCATTAATAAACAATTCAACTTTGTGTCCAACTATGTGTGTCTGGCTTTGTCTACATTACAAGCAAAACTATCCAGAGAAGAGGGATGTTTGGGAAACAAAGGTGCTGCTTTTATCTGACTTATACTGTAAGTACGAGCTACAGCAGCACTTATAAATAATCCAGACTACTTATAACATAAGAAAACAACCAAAAATCCCAGCAAATCTGTGGGAGCTATTTAGATCAGCAAAGAATGAAAGCAACCTTTTTAGGTAGGACTGGGTACTTACAAAGCCAGGCTACTGAGTGTGCGGAGCACGTGATCACAGTTTGATGTGAAGAAGGATGAGGCTTGCGCAAAATAGCAGAGAGCAATCTCAAGGATCCTGAGCTGAGGCAGGAGCACCTGCCAGCGAGAGGCGTACTCCTCCACCAGCTGCAAAGACAAAAACAACATCTAAACAAAAGTACAATTTTCCAAAGTACAAGGTTTTGGGTGCAAATGCAAGTACACTGCTGATGCTTCTAATCGCACTCGATTACAAGGATCTGTTTATATCACGTTATACTTTAGATCTGTGTGTTTTGGACAGCTACCTAGATTATTTTTACTTGAACATGTACTACAGGCCCATCACAAAACAATATCTGTTTACAGTTGACCTATGACATCCTAATCCGTATGTTGCCCTCTAATGGTGGAGATCCAGCTCATCTCCAGTGGAACGCAGTGAAGTGTTAACCCTCAGCCAGTGTTTAGTTTAGGCCGAGGGGTGTCAAACTCCAGGCCTCGAGGGCCGGTGTCCTGCAGATTTTCGATGTTTCCTTCATCCAACACAGCTGATTTAAGTGGCTAAATTGCCTCCTCAATATGTCTTGAAGTTCTCCAGAGGCCTGGTAATGAACTGATCAGTTCAGGTGTGTTGACCTAGGGTGATATCTACAACCTGCAGGACACCCCTGGTTTAGGCCCTCATCCAACTGCAACAATTAGTTCCCTACTAAGCTAAATGTAACCATGTTAGCAAAGCATGAAAGCCCGAGTCTGGCATCTTCTTTATGAACAACAAACTCAATAACATGTGTGATATTATTTTAAAATATGTAGTGCAATAATTACTTCTCATTTTGTTATACTCCCAAGCTCTAGCACCCCAACTTCAGCTCCAAAGAAATCAAGTCAAATTACATATGCTGATGCGTCACGCGTTTAATGCTTACTTTTAAAGTTTGGATGGCTTACAGCTGGGATTTGTCAACAGGAAGTAGTACACCTGGCTATTTCTAGTGTCAGTAATTGGGCAAACAAGATTTCATCTCTCTGTTGTTAACAGTGCAGGGTTATTAGTTACTGCCATTTCAATGCGCTTTTGCATAAGATGCAACCACTGTGAGACCATTTAGTGATGGCAGGAATTGTTTTCCACTGCTGTGACATATCGAAAGGTGGGCTGTAAAACAAACGCCCGACAGCACAGGATAACAAATATTAACTCAATTTCAGCGTAATCGCTGCCAAAACGTAGTGTAATCGTGCAAAATCCTGACCAGCGGGTAGTTAGTAAACATTCAGCGTACAACCATGCTAACTTGCAAGCAAATTCTGGGCTAGCTGGCTCAGGCGATTAGCAAAGTCAACCTGAAAACTGGTGCATTAATCATGCAGTGTCACTAAATCACTGCTTAAGTGGCTCGCATGTTTTGCTAAAATCGTGTATATGCGGCCTTGGATTACTTGACACGCTGTTTGTCACGCAAATATGCTTGTTTTTAAAGCGACTACTGCTAGTTAGCTAAATGATAACGGGCTTAGCCGCTAATGCTAGCCGTGTGTAACTAGTAATTCTGGGGGAGGGGAGTCGGCTAACATATATGCTTATCTTTGACAACAAGCACGCCGCTAACTTCAGCTACGGCTCCATACCTTGCAAAAGTCAAAGCAGAACGCTTCGCTGTCGCCTCGGAGTTCATCGCTTGAGTAGCGGCTAAACAAAATCTGCAATTGTTTTTCTAGACCCTCTAACTCGTACACACTGCTCTCCTCCGCCATACTGCCTGTCTAGCCTCGCTCGTAGCAGCCAGCACACAACACATACATCGCCACAGTCAACGACTTGCTGATTGGATACCGGGAGCGTGAAGTGACGCGCTCATTTACTAGACCAGCACGCGCCGATGGGAGGGCGGGATACCTATGACAACTTATAGACGCCCAGTTACGCTATCTTCCCGGTAATTACGGTGCTACCAGAACACCATTACATGCGCCACAAACCACATGGCGAACACAAACACGGCGCGTTAATGACTTAATATTTGCGTTCACGTCCCATTTATAAGCTTGGAAAAAATCATTGTGCATTTGAACTGGTCTAACTTAAGTTTTACGATTGCATTTATTAGTCCCATTACTACTATACAACAATAGAAAAAAATGTAAAATATACAAAGTAAAATAATTATAATTTCAATATACAATGATACAATTTGACATTTTTGAAAGATTAGTCAGAGGCGTGTGTAGAAGGGGGGCGTGAGGTGGCACAACCCCCCACCCGAAATATGATTATTTCAGTATTTCCACACACTCCAGATTTTTCAAATGCAATTACTGTACTTTATATTCCATACTATTTATTTTGAAGCTTTGGTTTTGCACATTAATTGCATTATTATAGATCACCCTGCTGAGCATTATGTAAATATTTAAAGTCAACAATGGCTGCAACATTAAAGAGATATATACACACGTCAATTAATTAATAATTCGAATCTAGTAATGCATATGATTGTGAAAATTGTCATTGGTTGGTTTTGACAGTGTATGTAAAAACCACCCAACACTACTGAAAAAAAAAAATCACACTTATGGCCACTTCAATAGGTACACTTGTTTAACTGCTTGATAATCCAAATATCTATTCGGCCAATCAAATGGCAGCAACTCAACATGTTTCTGCATGAGTAAAAGTGCCTTGTTGATGTCAACAATTATAGGAGGCTGCTTCCAGCTGATAGGAAAGCAACAGTAACTCAAATAACCACTTGTTATATGCAGAAGACCATCTCTGAAGCAGCAGAAGACCACACTGAGGCTACACAGGCTCTCTAGATCTGGACAATGGAAGATTGTAAAAACGTTGACTGCTCTTGGCAGTCTGAAATTTGTGAAATTCAGATGAAAGTATCAGAATTTGGTGTAAATAACAAAAACAGATCCATCCAACTTTGTGTGAATGGTTCAACCTGCTGTTAAGTGGTATAATGTCAGGGTGTAATGCTTTTAATGCACTTTTGGTCCCTTGGTACCAACAGATCACTGTTCAAATATCGTCACAAAGCTGAAGTCATCTAAAACTACTTTCTTGAATATGAAAATGAGTTCATTGTACTCAAACCTCCACAGTGATCCAGATCTCCATCCAATAGAGCAACTTTGGGATGTGGTGGAAGAAGAGTCCAGTCATGGATGTAGAGGCGAAAAATCTGTAGCAACTGTGTGGTGTCATCATGTCAACATGAACCAAAATCTCTGAGGAAAGTTTCCAGCACCTTGCTGAATCTATGCGGTGAAGAATTAAGGCAGTTCTGAAGGCAAAAAAAATTGGGCCCAACCTAGCTCCAGCAGCAAGGTGTAGCTACTACAACTTTTAACAGAGTGGCAAGTAGGTACACCTTGGTAGGCATATGATAACCTCATTCCTAAGTTTCCCTAAGCATCTTTTTGTTTCTGAATATTTTTTTCCTCAAATTGTGACAAAGGGAAACAAGAAGCCACACTGCTACAGAGTGTAATTTTTATTTAGCCTTATACATTGATTAAGGAAAAATGATGTCATAGAAAAATATTTTTCTCCTAGACACTGCAAAGATTAAGTAGTCCAGACTCCTTTACACTTGAATAACACCATGATTATATTCAGATTTTAGATTACCTGATATGGATTATTCTGTGTACACACAATCATGAAATCAGCATACAGTGAGCAATAATGAAAACATAATAGGCATATATACACACACATACCCACAGCAACTCCCATAATAAATGAATTGAATGTGACTTTTGTATTCCTGTCTGGTATACAAAGCCAAAGTGATGATACAATCATTTATTTTCCTCGCAGCCTCTCTTCAAGTCCAATACAAAACAATAAAAGTCTACACTGTAACAAAACTTATAAAAGATTCGAGCACTACAGGCTTAAGCAATAATAACAACCCCCATCATAAGCTGACAGTAGAACAAATTATTCTGCTTATTACGCTTCAAGACTCAAGGTCAAACATATGATTCAAAAAGAGAGAAATAAGAGCCAAACTCAAACCAAAACTTCTAAAAAAAAAAAAACCCAAACAAAAAAAAAACACAACACCTTTCTGCCATCTTTAACACACTAAACTAAATGTCAATGTGTTTGTCATTCTAAAGTAAGAAATGTAAAGGCTTGTAGTGTCTTTGTTTTTAATTCAGCTCATCGGTGGATTCTGACATGGAGCGCTCCTGCCTCTTCCGGGCTGTGACGAAGTTGAGCAGGTCGACAGCTGTCACCACCCCGAAAACCATCTGCTTTTTGCTATGAGAGCCATCAGTCAAGTCTGGTAGAGGACAAGGAGTAGAAAAGAGAGTATCAGAGAGATTATTAGCCTGATAGTTGAGTTAAAACCTTTATAGTGTTGCAGTGCTTCCACTAAAAAACTTTTAAAAAAATAAAAATAATTCCTACAACTGTAATGTAGGACTCTGGCCACTAGGGGGCAGTGGAACAAGCCAAGTGGGCTCTAAACTTTTCAATATTCCGTCAGAGTCGTGTCTTTAGCTGCCAAATGGACAGTCATGTCCCTTAGCCATTTGATGCTGAGGATCCAGTATGCAGCGTGGTCACATGCTATTGTCAGTATACGAATGTAAAAGAGACACATGCAATATTCTAAATACGCACGTGATATGTCAGTTAGGTTCAACATCAACAATATTTACTTTTTAAATTAATGCCTACTTGGTTTGTGTAACCACTCCGACAGCCAGATGGGGATGATAAAAGTTGCACAGTGCAAGTTTGATTGATAGGTCTGTTTGTCCATCTTTGATCAATTTAAAGATGCAGAATTGGTTTTATTATGAAGCTGCTGTGCAGGAGGAAAAGAGGAAGACCACAGAAAAGATTGAGGGTGTAGTGAAATAGGATAAGCAAAGGGTTGGTATGACAAAGGAGGATGTTAGATGTAGGGCCACTTCTAACAGGTGCAGCCAAAAGAAAAAGATTGAAGATTCCTTCTCAGCCTGCACATTTTGGATTTCAATACTGCAGAAAAAAAAAAAAAAAAAAAAAAAAAAAAACACCTGCTTAAATGTAACCTTGACAAACAGAAACAATCAGCTAGCTGTTTGCTAAACTGTCTCTACTTGGACGGGTCAAGGTCATCTAAAGCCTGCCTCCAGATTCTCACACTGAGCTTGTGCATCTATACTCAAGCAAGGAGCAGCAGGAAGCGGATATACTGAGCTCACAGAGCTGTTAAAAATGTGGTTCTTGCAAACACACAAACTCAGTGTTTTTACACATTGAATCACTAACCCTGGTCATAGTTTAAACGCACAGATTGTCAAGACTGATATCCACAGACAACAGCAGCTAAACCGGCCACAGCACAAACTTGTTTGTGCGTATAAGTGTGTGTGCATTGCTGTACTCACATTGGATCTGTTCGTGTACCACCAGAGCGAAGTGGTCAATCTCCAAAATCGAGGACAACTTTCCCAAGTTGTCAGTCAGTGTGATCTGAATTAAAATAAGAGGATGTGTTGAAGATATAAAGATACATAGAAATATATAGATATATACACACATTCATCAACATCTGTCACAGTAAAACTTTCTGTATACACAAAGAAATGGAACAGAACATAACACAAACTTGTCTTTTTAGCACTAAAAATAAGTCTTATTTCAAACCCCAATTTTGTAGTTCAGCAAGTTTACAATCTTTTTTTTCCCCCTACATGGAGATCATCCTCAGCCAATCAGAATGAAAAGAGTAGTCTTTAAAATCCATTAAATTTCCAACCAAACTAACCTGTTTGAACTGCTTGTAAAGCACTTTGCTGACAGGATCTGACAAGTTGATCTTCCCTGCAAGGATCGAAGATAGCATGTTGCCTAGAGTCACCATGCCCAGGATCAATCTACACACAAAAACATAAACAAGAAGTGAAGTTAAAGGTTAGTCAAGGATAAGGTTTTCAGGGTCTAAAACACAGCTTCCAGGAATGTGTGAAGATCTAATATTCTGTGCTTTTCTGTTGTAAAGCTGATCTTTCTACCTATAGCACACCCACCCTGTGTCATCGACCACCGGCGCCTGGTCGAAGCCATTATGCTTGAGGATCTGGATGGTCTTTTGGCAGCTAACAGTAGGCAGGACAGTGAGCGGGGCAGACATGTTCAGGCACTGCAGCTTCAAGTTCCACCACCTGTGAGAACACGGCATGTTTAATGAGCGTACATAGAAAGAGACTTAGAAACTGGAGATTTGGTCTTTTTAAATGACACGCACCATGGTTTCTTCACCATGAGGTCCTCCTCCCTCAAAAAGCCCTTCTGGACCATCCACTTATCACTCAGGAACTTTGACCTTGAGGGGAGTAAAGAAAAAAAGATTAAGAAAAGACTGATCTGTGTTTACACAAAGAAAGCAAACAAATTGTCTGCATATATCTGAAGGACCTCTAGCACAAACACATAAGGAAACTCACATGTAGTTGCGGATGGAGTCCGGCAGGATCACCACACAGCGCTGGCCCTCTTTAAGCTCCTTGGCGGCATGCACAGCTGCTGCCATGGCCGTCCCTGAGCTGCCTCCTGTTACAGGAAAAAGCAAAATGGTAAATGGCCTGTATTTGTAAAATGCTTTACTAGTCCATAAGGACCCCAAAGCGCTTTACACTGTAGCCACAGCCACCCTGGGGCGCACTGACAGAGGCGAGGCTGCCGCCATATTGCGCCATTGGGCCCTCTGACCACCACCAGTAGGCAACGGGTCAAGCGTCTTGCCCAAGGACACAACAACCAAGACTATCCAAGCCGGGGCTCGAACCGGCAACCTTCCTATCACAAGGCAAACTCCCAACTCTTGAGCCACGATCGCCCATAGGTTAGTTTGCCTTAAGTGGCACCCAGGTACGCACAACATTTTCCTCATGAAGCTTTTCCCCGGGAGCAAAAGTATTCCTGGAGGCTTTGTGTTTCTTCTGTTGCCAATCAGTAACCAGTCACACCCACGTCCCCTCGAACAGGATGAATTCTGCCGTTTGTTTATAAGAAGCACCTTCCTGTAGTGATCTACGGGGCTCTGGAGGAGTTTCAGAGCTTTAGAAATTAACCACAGTGAAACTATGAAAAACATTTTAGTTCCACCTCCTGCCTGTCCTGGTTGAAGCAAAGTCTCTTGTGACCATCAGTGGTAGGATAAATCAAAAAATGAATGAATCAAACCAATCAGCATAAAGCTCCATATTGTTTGTCAAGGCCAATCACAAGTCACTACCTCAGAACAGGCCCTGAAATAAGTGCTGTGTGTTGGCCACTAAAAAAAAAAAAAAAACTAATAAGTCCTGGGGTAGAAGAGCCTACCTAAACCAGGAACCACAAAGACCTACCGCACAGCAGGCCTTCCTCTCTGATCAGCAAACGAGACATGTTGAAGGACTCCTCATCGTTGGACTTGTACCACGTATCGACCACCTGGAAATGTTGACGGTGGGGGGGGGGTAGTAGTAATATTAAACATACGACATCGTCATGCTCACTTAGGAGCAGTCAAGAAAAGGAGATGGGATTATAGACGCCGCTTGAACCAACCGATCTGTCGAGGACGGTGGGGATGAAGTCGTACCCGATGCCCTCCACCTCATACTGGGTCTTATCGGTCTTGTTAAGCTCCTCTGGCTCAGCCAGGATTGAACCTTCAGGATCAACACCAACAATCTGCGCACAAAACACACCATTCATAAGCCACAAGTAGCTCAGCAGATATTTATCTGAAAAAGGAGGAGAAACATAATCTCAAGAAAGAGCTTACTTTGATATTTGGGCATCTTTCCTTCAGCTTGCGGGCGATGCCTGTGATCGTCCCTCCTGTGCCTGCACCAGCCACCAGCATGTCCACCTTACCTGTCAGCAGAAACACAGAAGAGACAAACAACCTTGTTGACTTGATTTCCAGTGAACTTCTAAAGTGAGTTTTAAGGAAAAAGCAATAATGCCGTTGAAGGAGTTTCTGTAAATTTTATAGCTCAGGATGCTCGTACCTTCACACTGCTCCAGGATCTCCTCGGCTGTGGTGTCGTAGTGAGCCAGGGGATTGCTCGGGTTGCGGTACTGGTCCAGGATGTGCGAGTTGGGGATCTCGTTCTTAAGGCGCCAGGCCACGCCCACGTGAGACTCTGGCGAATCAAAACGGGCGCTGGTGGGCGTACGTACAATCTCTGCTCCGAGTGCTCTCAAGACATCCACCTGTCGAGAACATCTGACAAATATTAACACTTGTACATGATGGCCTGACTGCAGCGAGAAACACCAATAAGAATTTGTTCTTTAAAACATTCAAGATTCATTAGAATTAATAGATATGCAGATATGCAGCAAGCTTGAAGAACAGTAGTCTCTTTAAAAGGGTACTAATGTTTTTATTTTAATGTAATTTAATGAAAGCTACTGTGGAAAAACAGCTTGAAAAAAAATGAATTAATAAAATAAATTCATTAAAAAAAGAAATTAAAAAGGAATACTGAGCTTGTTGTAATGTTCAAAAAAATGAACAAAAAAAAGGAACAAATAATCAGAAAATATTATTAAAATCCCTTTAGAAACAAAACACAAGATATATGATTATTTTAAAAAATAAAATAAATTTAAAAAAAACAACAAGATAATAAGATATAATATAGACGTCAAACAAAAACTTTGAACATTTTGTACAAATATACACTAGATTTATATTTTTGCACAGCATTTAAAGATTGCATCATATGATGCAACAGCAGTACTAAAGCGTGACCTCTGCCTCTATAACAGGCTGCGATTTGCATACTTAGTCGCAACATTTTCAGGAAAAGCCCCTTTGAACAGAAACCGCACTTTTCTATCAGGAAATCCTACCCTTCAATTTAGCTGTAGCAGTCTAGACATGCTTTACTCTGACAGAAAAAAAAAACCTGCCGTGCTTCTGTGAGTTGTGGTTTCTATATGACAGGAAATTCACCTTCTCCATGCTCATCTTCTCTGGCATGACAATGATGCAACGGTAGCCTTTCACTGCTGCAGCCAGAGCGAGTCCGATACCTTAAGGAACAAAAGAAAGAAGCAGATTTGAGTGGGATTTTCAGCACAGGCTTTCGTGTATTTGTTCACACCAGCACAGGCGCATGCAGGGGATTACCAGTGTTTCCAGAGGTGGGCTCTATGATGGTGTCTCCTGGCTTGAGGATCCCGGCTCTCTCAGCGTCCTCCACCATCCGCAGACTGATTCTGTCCTTGACGCTGCCGCCCGCATTAAAGAACTCGCACTTGGCCACTACACCAAAAAAAGTGTCACAATAACATATTAAAATCACAGGAGCCAAATGAAACAATTAAGATACAATTGTGATCTGAAGTAACGCTCACACCCCAACCAGCGCTCACAAGTTTGCACAGTAACCAGTCAGACCGTAACCAACTTCTGAATTTGTCTCAGCTTGAATGTGGTGTGACTCACATATTTCACATTTGAGTCCAAAGGCTTTGGGGATGTTGTTGATGCGTACCATGGGTGTGTCACCGATTTTGTTCAGGATGTTGGGGAGAATGGCTGGTGCAACAGTCCTGAGAGGAGAAGGGGGAAAAAAAGAAGAATAAACCTCAGCGAGACGATAAACAGAAGTGCCACGTCTGGTTGTGCAGATAGACTGGACAGTAATCACTTCTTTATCAGGCTCAGACTGTCTTTTATTGCTATCACTAGTGTGAGATAAGAGCACCCATTTCCACTCACTTCACTGGTCTGAGAAGTCTAAACAACAACAAAAATAACAGCCTCTTTTTCAGAGCTTTAAACAAATAGTGTAACGCCTTTACGACAGAGTTTTTTTTATTTGTAACAGCAGATCAATACAACAGTGCTGAGATGTAAGAAGCAGTGGATATCTGACTGGCACGCTGACCTTGAAACTTGAGTGTGGGGGGAGTCGGATTTTGAGGCTTCTAGGCTCCACGTGCAGCGGCTGGGAAGGTCGGGCCTGATCCATTTCCTTTCGGGAGAAGAGTTCTTTGTTTTGATCTGAATGTTTCTGGCTGCCTCCTGCGACTCCTCCTCGGTCTTCAGGTTCTCGACTCCGTTCTTGACTTTGTTCTCTCCGTTGCTGAAGCCGTGCAGCTTGCCAGCGTGTGGGCACACAGGGCTGTTGACTGTGGTCTCTTTGGATGAGGGAACTGATGGCATGGCTCAACTTAGGGAAAAAAAAAAACAAACAACAGTAAAGTTATCCAATTATGTAACACACTGTTCTTACAGCATGTTCTGATAAGTTTTCCTGCATCATCAGTGACTTGGCTGACAGCCAGGAAATTAAATACTTTCATAATGTTGTTTTTGACTGTCACAAGCAGTAGTCTCCTTCTCTGCAACCTGCATCTTCAGGTATCAAAGGCATGATGCATTTCTCTATTATTAACTAAATAGCTCCAGTTTCTACTGCTCATTTGGGCTCAAAATATTCATCCCTGTGAGTTTATACCAAGGAGATGGGCTCAATCCTTCATTCACTTTCTTTGTGTGACCTCGATTACTTTTTAGAAAAATTATCACCAATAGTCCCGACAACTAAGGTGTATCTTACAGAAATAACTATTAAAGTGCTGTTTAGACCCTCTGAGCAATAAAATCCAACATGTCATGTTTGTAAGTGGAACGATTTCCAAATGAAGGAAATCCGACCATCCAAGAACCGCATGAATGCATGGTAATACTAACATTTGGATGGGTTTCTTGTTGGATATTTGGACAAGTTTGATGCACGATTTTATGGCAACCCAACTTAAAGTTGAGATACTTCAGTCACAAGTGCTGGACTGAGTATCCACAGCTGTGGAACCAGCTTTGGGAAGGACACCCTCTCTACTTTTAAATTCTGCCAGAGCTTTCTTCCTGTTAAGGAAGGAGTTTTTCTTCACCATTGTCACAAATTACTTGATCACAGGGTGTGTCTGACTGTCAGGGTTTCTCTCTATTATTGTAGCATCTTTACCTTACAATATAAAAGAAGGGCTATTTTTATTGTAAACAAGATAACCTGAAAAAAAAAAAATTCCAAGAGATGACAAATGTTAAAGCATTCAACTTCACCAATCAGCAAACACAGTGCAAAGCAAACACTGAACCACTCCTTTCTTTTATTAATGCTCAGTCACATCTACACTGCTAAAACAAATCCACAGCTCATCCCCATCTACCACCGCTTTTCAGTCTAGTCTAGTTTAGCCTAGTCATGACAAGTGGCCAAATTCTGCCCTTATCAAAGCTACGTGAGAAAGCACAAGTGGGAGTAAACAAGGGGGGTGGGGCTGATAAAACTTCAGTTATTATTACATAATTTTTTCTCCACAGGAAGAGAACAAAAGCTTCTTTTTAGGGAGTTGGTAAGCAGTATTGTTTTCATAAATCATAAGACTGATTGCCGTTCCCACATATCAAGATATAAGTCAAGATTTAGACACACAACACCGACTTGTGCAGTCACGCATCCGTTTTGAGGATCTACAGAAAAGAAAATCACTGCTTATCTCATTGTTTGTAAATGTAGTTAATCTAAACCATAAAAAGATTTTATAATCAGTTATAACTGGTTATAAATGCTACTAATGGCTAACCATTACCTTAAATCTGAGTCGGGTATTTAACAGTCTGATGAGATCAAAGGGAAGCTTTAAATCCAGTCTTTGATCATTAATTTGACAAATAACCTGGGTAATTAAGCACGAGGTGAAATACCTGACATGAACTTCAGCAATAACTTTCCAGGAAGAGAACTAAACCATTGAGTGGCAGATTGGCTAAACTGGCAGGAACAAAAGAAAGATTAGCTGGAAAACAAGTTACAATTTTAAAATTTCACTTGTAAATACAAGACAAACCTCAGTCACAGCCTCTGAAACGTGATGATTTGCCATTTCATGTGACGGTTATATGACTCCAAACACGAGAGCAGTACAACGAGAGCTTCTCAAACTTTCAGTACATTTTAATCTTACTACAACAAAACTACAGAACCAAATAAAGTAAGATAAGTACCAGTTGCTAAGACTGCCACAGATTTACAAGCCCAACTTTTTCCTCTTACTACAGCCTGTTGTTTCCCTCCCATCCCCCAGCTGCAATGGTAGCACATGAGGCTTCACTAACACACAGAGCACACACCGACAGGGCCAGCTGTTACAACGGGGCCCCTGTCTTTGACTGCAGAATGAGTTCAGACAATGTCCACAGGAGTGGACTAAACACATTTTCTTAAGCCTGCAGCTCCCTGCTCTACACGGGGTGGAGCTGGCTTTCACACGCTTTTGGGGAATGTTGCGATGATAAATGCATTTGATCTGCTATCAAAATTTAAAAAGAAGCACAAACCAATTACAAGTGTTGACCACCTACCTTTTCCTTACAACCACTGATAGGCACACTGCTAATCACAGTAACACTTGCAACATCGATGCTGGCAAATGTGTGTGGTATGTGTTGGCCTTACAGGGTTTAACAGGGAAATATGATCCTCCTGGTGGAGGACACACACACACACACACACACACAAAACAAGTCTGAGCCAGGCTTGCAGGGCAAGAAAGACTTGAAAGAGGATTTGCCAAGCTTAAACTTAAGTTTGGTTTAATACACCACACTTCAGCCAAGAGTCCAATCCTTAATTAAAGCTCCCAGGCTAAAGAAACATAACACAAATGATCAGAGTTTGGCAACATCGGCCCACTCTAATGAAAAATTAGACGTTTATCTGCTTTAAAAAAGAAAAGAAAAAGGAAAGCACCACTGGTATGTTCACCACTCTTGGGAGTCCAGTGGTGACTATGACTTTGCGGCATACCTTTATGGTTTGCAGCATTTAATTGCTCTGGCAGCAACAAACACAACCGAAGTATCTGCTTGTTGGCAATACAACAACACACTATAGATATCCACTGAGCTATCACAAATGATGTGCCAATGCGAATAGCAGTAATGATGGCCATAGAAAGGCCGTATAAAGGTGCACCCACCTGCATAACCTTTAATAGGACAACGTAGGTCGCAGGAAAATAGTTGTTTTAGCCTTTTTTTAATAAAACAATTTAAAGATAACACTGAAGGCTATCGAAGTAAAAAAAGAAAAGAAAAGAAAAAGGTTGTCACAATTTTATGGGAAAAAAGATTATTTAAGACAAAAAAAAAGGGAAAAATCTCACTTGGCTGCATTGCTCAAAATGAACCAGAGCACGGAAACAGCATGATAGAATTAAACGCTGCGTCATTTGAAAATAATAGATGATGTGGCGGGATACAAAGGAGACAAACTACAAAAGGTAACCAAAAGGGAAAAAAAGAAAAAAAAAGCGATTAATTGTAAAAATAAATAAACAAATACAAAAAACCTAGTAATGCTTACATAATTTAATATAATAAATATAGGACACCGCAGTGTGTATGCGAACACCTGAATTATAACACATCGGCTGGAAAAGGTCCAACAAAAGCCTGAACTGCGCAGCTACAATGTTGCATCAGAACTGAGGAGCTGGAGGCAGCTTTCTATCAGCCCATGGGGAAATACAAATTAATTTAATTAGAAAAAAAGAGTGTTTAAATACGTCGGCTTCTCCTCGTTTCCATTCTCTGTGTCAGGCGGCTTTATTTTCACTCACCTGGAGATTTATCTGTGCCTTGAAATCTGCGTGAAAACTACACACCGGTACGACGAGCAGACGACTGCACAGCCTAGGGATCAACTTCCGACAAAGCAAGCCTTTAACGTGCCGACGCACGTGGACGAAACTGTATGGAGCGCAGAATTTTTAGGAAGACGCTCTTATTGGCTGCGGTGGGGGCGACTGTTTGTGGGCTGTACCAATCGGTGCGGAGATTTCTTTAAAAGGGGTTGAGGGGAAAAAAACCGCTGAGGTAAAGTAGTCCGTGGCACCTGTTTACTTTTTACTGACCAAACACACCCCCGCGCACGCAGACATCGCATGTAACAACTTGAAAGCTTCTCATGAATGTCTTTTTTTCGCTAACATTTGAATTCAAGTAAGCAAGGGTTTAATAATTTAGTTATTATTTTGACAACGTAACTAGACTTACAACATAAATTCTCTTTAAAAAAGCAAACAAAAACTTTTCAACTCCCAAGCAGCATTTAAAAGTACAACACATGTACTGTGTTTGCATAGAAGTTTGATGTATTTGTACTATTTGTATCTTTATAACTCCAGACTATGCACATTAAACTTAAACCATCTTAAGTGGATCTTAACCCACCATCTTAATTGCTCAATCAATACTATGACAAAATAAGTTTACATTTGAGATCTATCTGGAGGTAATTTTTTCTTACTTAATTTAGAGTTTTTTTTCCCCTTTTTAAACTAGCAGAATATTTATCACATCAAATTTAAGCAAAGTGTAAAAAAAGGGAAGTAAAAGAACAGGCTGATTAGTTAGCATTGCATCAGCCATTTACCAGAAAAAAAATGCAGCAACAGTTGTGCACTGTTAGTGACTGTGTGAAGGAAAGTTTACAGTCTGACAGGACTACGAAGGAGCTTTAAAATTAGTCTCTGGTTAGCAGCTTTGGTATAAAAATATTCAATTCAATTTAATTCAATTTTATTTATATAACACCAAATCACAACAAAAGTCGCCTCAAGGCGCTTCATAGATACAGAGAAAAACCCAACAATCATATGACCCCCTGTGAGCAAGCACTTTGGCGACAGTGGGAAGGAAAAACTCCCTTTTAACAGGAAGAAACCTCCGGCAGAACCAGGTTCAGGGAGGGGCGGGGCCATCTGCTGCAACGGGTTGGGGTGAGAGAAGGAAGACAGGATAAAGACATGCTGTGGAAGAGAGACAGAGATTAATAACAGATATGAT